GGTGCTGGTGCTGGTGGTGGTGGTGTGGTGGTGGTGGTGGTGGTGGTGGTGGTGGTGGTGGTGGCGGTGCGGCGCGGTGGTGGCGGGCGGATGGGCGCGCGAGAAAGAGGCCCGCGCTGGGGCGAGAACGCCATCCTGAACGACGGAGGCCAAACACCGATCCGAAAATGAGGCCCACGCTGCAGCGGGAGCACGATTCGGAACGATTCGGGAGCAGAAATGAGGCCGGCGCCTCAACGAGAGCAGCATTTTGGGAAAAAATGACGCCGGCGCCTCAGCGAGAGTCGTTTCCCGGGATTTTCCGGGCATCCTGTGTGTAAAAAAACAGTACGCGGAGGGTGCGCGGCTATCACCCGGACGCCATCAGGGGAAGGATTCGGGAGCAGAAATGAGGCCGGCGCCTCAACGAGAGCAGCATTTTGGGAAAAAATGACGCCGGCGCGAGAGCAGCATTTTGGGAAAAACTGACGCCGGCGCCTCAGCGAGAGTCGTTTCCCGGGATTTTCCGGGCATCCTGTGTAAAAAACAGTACGCGGAAGGTGCGCGACTATCACCCGGACGCCATCAGGGGAAGAGGGAGAGTATATTCATATTGAGTAATTGTCTAGGGGGGGGGGATATCATGGCGTGGGCCGCGACCTTTCCCCAGATTGCATGGCGCCTCTTCTTATGCCAATGCGTCCCCGGCCGCCCCCTGGGCCGCGCACGTGCCCCGGACTATGAGTTGCACCCCCCCCTCTTGGACGCCACCTTCTGTGGACGCCCCCGATAGGAGGGCGAGGGGGTCCCTCGGGGGCTCAAGGGACGGGGGGTCCGTGCAAACGGAGGTCTTCCAGAGCGCCAGAGCTTGCAGGATCCTGCAGCGCCAGGTTTGCACTGACCCGGGCTTGGGTGCAGGATCTCCAGGAGTTTGCCCGATCCTGCAAGGCCTGACTGGCCCGGGTCTGGATTGACCCAGGTCAGTCAGTACCCGCGTGGTCACGGAAGGGGGTCGTCACAGAAGGGGTGCGTTCCGCCATTCCCGAGCGGTTGCACGGGGAGACGCTGGGCGGGGATGAGAGCGCTACGCGCGCCAGGCGCGCTGAGCGCGCCAGGTCTGCCAAGTGCGTCTGTGGCGCCAGGTGTGGAAGACGCACCTGCGCGCGCCCGCGCCAGGGCGGAGGAGCGGAGAGGGAGTGGAGTGCGGAGGTGCGGGGAGGCCTAAAGCTGGAATGAGTGCGGAGGCGAGGGGTGTCGAAGCGTGAAAAGGTGACCTCAACACGACTTGTCGGAGGTCCGCAGCGCCAGCGGCTCCACAGCGCGGCGACTGTTTGTTTGACCTGTCTAGTAGATGATCGTGCTAGTCTTTCTCCACCCATTCTTCCAAAGTTCCGTATGGCTGCGTACCTCTTTGGAAGGATCAGTACAGTTTAGATCGGCATGGTTAAGCGAAGTGCCCGTTCAGAGGGGGATGTACAAACAGAAACTAAACAATGTTATTGGCCCGCGTGGATTTCTTGGGTCTGTGTTGGTCCCGCCAAGCCGTTCGTGGCCCGTTGTGCACGCTGGGGAGGGGGTCCCCGCGCCCAATCGAAGACACCGGCCCTTGTGGTCTAAGGATTTTTTTTGTTTGTGTTTCTCTCTCTCTCTCTCTTTCGTTCTGTCTCGAAAAATGGGAGGGGGAGGAGAAGGTGGAGTAATAGGAGGGGGAAAGGACATAGAAGAGGAGGGAGGACGATGAGGGACGAACGAGCGGAAGGCGGGGGGAGGGAGGATGAGAACAAGCTCAGCGCCATAGCCGACATCATAACCCTCACAACCATCCCTTCCCATGGTGCCGATTTCTGTATGTTTGCCGACGGGTGTCATAGCGACCTGGCAGCCCAACACTTTTCCAGTCACATTATGCGCATGCAGGAGGGAGAGCTGTGTATAGTGGATGGTGTGGAGGGAGGAGGGGGAGGAGCAGCAGCAGCAGGAGGACGAGGAAGGAGGGGGAAGAGGAGGAGAAGGAGGAGGAGGGGGAAGAGGAGGAGAAGGAGGAGCCGCAACAACACGAACAGGAGTAGCAGAAGCAGGACGGACGCAAGGGTCTGGTGGACCTGGGGAATGCGGAGAAGAAAAACGAGAGGCGACAACTATGAAGACGGACTCCGATTCTGAAATCTGCCCTTCTGAGCGACGGGAGTAGGGCGCCGACCCTGAAGCGAGGCCCCCTCTGCCAGTCTGCAGCGGGACACAGCATGAGGAGTAGGTGGAGGACGACAAGGAGGGACGAGGGGAAGGAGGAGGAGGAGGCGGAGGAGGAGGAGGAGGAGTGAGGATAAGGAGGAGGAGGGAGGAGGGAGGAGAAGGGAAGAACAGGGAGGAGGAGGAGGAGGAGGAGGAGGAGGAGGAGGAGGAGGAGGAGGAGGAGGAGGAGGAGGAGGAGGAGGAGGAGGAGGAGGAGCCCCGTCCGAGCCCCGCTCCTCCCCCGAACCCCTTCCCAGGGATACGGCGCGGGGCCGCCGCCGCCCTCGGGGTGCCCGCTCAGCGGCGGCAGTGCTGAAGGGAGGAGGGGTGCGCAGACGCCAGGTGGGGAGGGAGGAGGAGGGAGGAGGAGGGAATGATGGGGCAGGGGGTGGAGGAGGACTAGGAGGAGGAGGAGGAGGAGGAGGAGGAGGAGGAGGAGGAGGAGGAGGAGGAGGAGAAGGGGGAGGAGGAGGAGGAATGAGGGAGCAAGGAGGGAGGAGGATCATCACGGGCTTTTGGGGAAAGGCTAGGGCCAGTCGGCCCGACCTACCCGACACCTTGGCTACATCCTCTCTCCACTGACGCTCTCTTCGGCCTGCCTCTCCGCCCCTTCTTGCGGAGCTTGGCGGCAGGGATGGGCTGGGAATCACGGGGGCGTGCCGATAATCTGTTCTTGGAGTGTCGGCCGCCTGACTAAAAGGGGACCACGCATTCTGTGAAAATTTGCTGTGGAAGCTTCCATTGCACTCACCTTTGAGACCCTTTAGGTTGCTCTCCGAGTAGCGGCCGCACCGCTTGCACACGACAAGGAAAGACTCTACATCAATGTAGTCACCAATCATGAGGTGGTGCTTCATGGGGTCACGAATCAAATTCGACAGGGCAACATAATTGCCCAGGCATGGTTCGAGCATGTGGGCCTTGCGGTTATTGTTGGTTCTGGCGCGGGTGTGACAAGCGAGGCACAGCCAGTGATCGTTCAGCCATGCCCACTGGTGGCGGTGACGGTTCACCCCCCTGCGGATTACGGCACGCCAGAGCACGTTGAGGAAGACCCACAGTGGGTTGGGGGACCGTCCAGGCTTTGACCGCACCAGCAGCACCGACAGGAGGATTGAGGCTTTTGGGGGTTTTCTCGAAGGCTTCCGGGGCAACGCGAGGCCAATGGGACAACGCTCCTGTTGCGTACTACACAAGTCTCTGGACACGGCAGCGCTTTGACTTGTGAGATTCGAGTTCAAGCTGGGACGGGGCAGGGATCTGGGAAGCTGCTTGCTTGGCAACTGTCCGCCCCATCGTTCTCTTTGGCGACGTACCACTCCCTCGAGCCGACCTCCAGGGCGTCTAAGTCCCGTTGACCTTTATTTCTTGGTTCTCGAGGGAGCGAAAACTATCTTGGGCCCTGGCCAACGCAGACGTATCAGCATACATGTATTTCCTACTGGCCTCTGGACTGAAGTGGACCGAGAGGATGCCTTTGAAATCCGTCCACGCTGTGGTGACCCTGGGACAGGAGGCGGAGGCTATGAAACTCAAGTGCTCGGCAGCGGGCGACGCGGGAGGCAGGCTGGCCCCCGCGGGGTCCGATATGCTGGCAATTGGGCCGCCAGTCTCGTCGATTTTTTCCACGGGCCCGGCGGGGGCGTCGTAAACCGCGGGCCTAGGTTTTTAACCGCTGCCGTCGTGAAAACTTTCCCCTTGCATGGCAACCTCCTTGGGTCGACCATCTCTTGACCATCTCTAGACCTGAACCTCGGGGCCTCAGGGCAGCAGGTTCGAGCAACAGTTGGGGCCCCAAGACTGATACAAAAACCTCTCCTCGGGTCCGCGGGCCCCTCCGCGTCTCATTCCTCCAACTTCCTCTGGCGCAGGTTCTGGGTACCTGGGCGCTCGAAGAGCCTGCGGGGAAGGGAACCCACAGGGCCTCAACACAATTCGCAAACCACCTCAGCCTGGTAGCCTGCTGTGGCCGTCTTCTCTTTTGTCCGAACGCACTGGCACGCGTAGGACAGCGACGTTTTTCGCACGTGGCCTGGCAACGAGGTGTCCTGCAGCGCGCGCTGCATAAGTGACGGGCCGAGCGGCTCGTCGAGTCCTAGCTTGCGGCTTGCTCGCAAGTCGAGCTGCCGCTGCCACTTGGGTCTGAAACGGTTTCCCAATGAGGGCGTGGGAGGTCATGATGAAGGGAGTAGTCCTAACCGTTGGCATCCTGAAATACAAGCGGATCGGGCATGGCTCAACCCGGACAGATTGAGGAGCGTGGTCCCGAGAGGGCCTCGGACTTGGAGTCACTTCTTTGGGGGCTTTTGGAGGACCTCCAGGGCTTGGGCTTGGGCTCCAGGGCTTGGGCTCCAGGGTAGAGAGCAACCCCCCAGATGCGATTTGCCCAATAACAAGCAGGCCCCAACGCGGCACTCCAGATAGGGCCCCCCAGGATAGATACCGCCAGGGATCTGGACCTAGTTGCACAGCGGGGGCCCACAATCTGTACATACAGGGACTGGGCCTCCCGCAGCTCGGGGTTCGTGAGTCCGACGACCTCTTTGCCGTAGTGGGAGGCCGCCTGCATTCATGTGCGGCAAATCTTCGTCATGTTCGCACTTGTACGCCTGAGCTGAGCCAAGCGGTGGAGTCTACGGTTCATCTTAGCCGCACGTTTCCTCACGGTCGTCCGAGCCTTCTTGGAGACCCTATTTCCCATGGAATGAGATCGACTCCGAGGTCCAGCGCAGACGACGCTTGCTGGGGCCCCGCGGGCCCGCTGTACTTACCGAGAGCCTTTTGTCGATCTCTGCTGTACCTCGGCTGATGAGCCTATCACCGCCGCCTTGTGCAGCGCGACCGTGCAATCGAGGTCCTCGATTAAATCCAACGCGCCGTCAGCTGCCCGAGCCAAATCAGACGCCGGGAGCCGAACGTTGGTGTTGTGACTAGCCAGCATGAAATCAATGAAGAACGAGGGGGCCACATCGGGGAACTTCGGCATCCTGGAGGCCACGGGGGGCGCCGAGTACATCTGCACGTTGAAAGTGGCAAGCGAACAACCGGCAGGGAAACCCATGGTGGTGCACCCCGCGCACGTGGCCAGGGTCTTAGTGGCAACTACTCGAGGGCCCCCATACTGGCTCAGCATGATGCACGCCAGCGTCTCCGAGAACCCTGAAGATATGGTGCAAGATTTCAATTCTCCCTATTGACGTTCTCGTAATAACTAGACGTAGCACCCCGCCATTGCGGATAAGAGTGAGGGGGCGGGCGCGGGCGACGCGGGCGTCGAGCCGGCGGACCTCGTGGTCCCACCTTCCCTGTCGATGGCGCCCTCTTCCTGCTCCTCCTCCTGCTCCTCCTCCTCCTCTTCCTCGTCCGCGTCCTCGGCCTCATCATCGTCGTCGTCGTTCGCCTCCTCCACCTCCTCCTCTTCCTCCTTTTCCTCCTCCTCCTCCTCCTCCTCCTCCTCCTCCTCCTCCTCCTCCTCCTCTTTCTCCCCCATCCCGATCCTCCCCCCTCCTCCTTTCCGTCGTCGTCGTCCTCCTCCTCCTCCCCCTCTTCCTCCTTTCTCTCCTCCTCCCCCTCCTCCAGCCCCGCCGCAGGCGCCGATGTGCTGTCGTAGAGTCAACGTGGGCCAGATCGGGGGAATGGCACGAGGGCGCTTTCCCAAACCAATGCGAGCAAGCCCGCCGCAGGCGCCGATTTGCGTGTTCTGACAAGCTCAGCGCGGGGGGGGTCGCTGGTGGGCCGCCCGGAACGAATGCAAAAACAGCCCGCCGCCGAATTTTTGGCTTGTTCAGTGAACGTAGTTTGGGTCTCGGGTGGGTCGCGGGCTCTCCACCTCCACCTGGAAGGCGTTCAAAAACTGCCCGCCGCAGGCGCTGAAATTTTTGATTTGTACACTGCACGCGGATTGGGTCGCAGGTTCTCCAACTGGAACGAATGCAAAAGAAACCCGCCGCAGGCGCCGAAGTTTGGGCTTGTTCAGTGAACGTAGTTTGGGTCTCGGGTGGGTCGCGGGCTCTCCACCTCCACCTGGAAGGAGTTCAAGAACTGCCCGCCGCAGGCGCTGAACTTTTTGATTTGTACACTGAACGCGGTTTGGGTCGCGGGTGGGGAATGCAAAACAAGCCCGCCGCAGGCGCCGAACATTTTGGGTGGGTCGCGGGGTGGGTCGGGGGTGGGTCGCGGTGGGTCGCGGGTGGGTCGCGGGCGCGGTTTGGGTCGCGGGTGTGCGCATTTTGGGTGGGTCGCGGGTGGGTCGCGCGTGGGTCGCGGTGGGTCGCGGTGGGTCGCGGTGGGTCGCGGGTGGGTCGCGGGTGGGTCGCGCTGGTGGGTCGCGGGTGGGTCGGGTGGGTCGCGGGTGGGTCGCGGGTGGGTCGCGGGGGGGTCGCTCGGGGTGGGTCGCGGGCGGGTCGCGGGGTGGGTCGCGGGGTGGGTCGCGGGTGGGTCGCGGGTGGGTCGCGGGTGGTTCGCGGGTGGGTCGCGGGGTGAGTCGCGGGTGGGTCGCGAGTGGGCCGCGGCATGGGTCGCGGGGTGGGTCGCGGGTGGTCGCGGGGGGGGTCGCGGGGTGGGTCGCGGGGTGGGTCGCGGGGCGGGTCGCGGGTGGGACGACGACAACAACAAACATCAAACACCAAACAACAAACAGCACACAACAAACAACAAACAACAAACAACAAACAACAATAACAACAACAACAACAACAACAACAACAATCATTTAAGACTGGGGGCACTCCGTGCTCACCAGTGCCAGGGTTTTCATAGGAGGCGGGCAATACCCCCACTTTGTGGGGGGGCCGGTTCAAGCTCTACCAAATTTCCATACGACTCTTCGCCACCACCCACACCCAGCTTCCCGCCCTATGACGTTCGGACACTTCACTTCGTGGCATGCGGACGACCGTGGCTACTATTCAGGGCCCCGCGGCCGACGACGACGGCGTGCGCGCGCGAAGAAAAAACGAATGTGTCCAATATGGTATTATTTGACAGGGGTGATGGCCCTGGCATGCGCGCAACCGTTGTTGCAGAAGTTCGAAGCACGTGAAAAAGTTGCTCGCAAGAGCCCGTTTGACAGAAATGTTGAAAAAATATTGGGTTTCCTCAGAAATCCGCAAGAGCGCGCAAGATGAATTTGTATTTTTTTTTTTGAAAAACCATTGGGTTTTTCATGTTTTTATGTTAAAATCGCTACGAAAACTAAGGTTTTGGAAGGATTGCATCTTGCGCGCGCGAGTGTGCACTTCGTGTCATTTGTTTCAAAGGATTCTTGAAGCTTGGTTATGTTAGAACAAT